AAAAAAAAAAATGATGAGAAAAAATTAAATGTGCAGAACCTCATTTTTAACATCAGCACTTGATGTGCCCGGAGAACAAGTAAATTCTGCAACTTTACTCTCCCTTTCAACCAACCAGTCTAAGAGTTCTGAATAAAGATCGTGAAATTCCATTGCGTTATCCATTGCATCAATTAAATCTTTGCTTCTAAAAGACAAGATATGAGCGACAACTAGGAATTTTTGAGCAAAGTGAGAAAAATGTAGCTTTCATAAATAGACGCACTTGCGAGCATAAAGGTCTGTAACAGTTGACCAATTTGTTTCAACTACTCCTAGCTGCTGCTCAACGTGAGCCCTTTCTTCAACTGCTACGGCATCACACAAATCCATACCAGCTAATCGCAGCTCATTAACCATTGGTTTCGTTTCATGCAGATTTTCCTCAATCGCCTAAAAGACCTCAAAATAATTTTTATCGTGAGAAAAAGAAGTAATAATTTGATCACGGTACCGAGAGTGCACTTTGTTGCTGTTTAATAAGTGTTGGTTGACCAGCTGCTGGATGAATGTCCATAATTCTTATTCGAAGTTCTTCAATCGCATTCTGGCATTTTTCGAGTTCAGACCAAAATCTTTCAGCCTTAGCCAAAGTACTTTCCAATGCGCTTCCTCTCTCGGCAACTCCGTCATTAAGTTCCTGCCACAATTTATCGAGCTTTTCAATTTTTGAACTTATTTCTGAAAAAAAACAAAGAAAAGTAAAGCGGGGCTAGTAGCAGCATACAAAATTAAGAGAACCATACTTAACAGTTACCTGCTACAGCTGGATCATTAGGCTTTGCCTGCTTTAAAATCACTTCCGCACTTTCCTTTACAGACTGTAAAGCTCCTTCTTTTAGTTTCAGCTCCTCCTTCAAAGCCAAATTGTCAGAAATTTGCGAGCGAATACGTTCAGGATCTGACGACACGGGATCTGGATTGCGGATCTGAAAAAAATGAGGCATAGACATGTGAAAAAATAGAAAGTGGCAAAAGCTTCATAAATTTAGAATAATCTACTGTCTTTGAGAGAACAAAACTGGTTTAATTAACTGGTTGACTTCTAAGAAAATGCCCAATAAGCATTTCGAATTTACCTGAACCGCAGCCCCACCAAGCTTGGCAAGTATCACATCAAGACGATCTGTGAACTGACTGCTATGCTCAATAGCACTTTCAAGAGCCAATGCTCTATTTCTAACTGCATCACGAACTTCTTCGTAACGCTGCTCCAATCCTTCAGCAATTTTATCCAATTGAAGAGCATCTTCTTCATCGCAAAGCTCCTCTAGAGCAGCGACATTTTTCTCAAAACGATCCAAAAGAGGTTTTTGAGACTGGATAGACTGTTGCAACTCCTTAATTAAACTACACAATCAAAAAGGAAAATACAACAGGAAAGGTATTTGTAAATACAAAAGATTTTCCGCTTTGGAAATGGGGAACTAAAGAATGAACCATGTTTATAGCTTGTTGTTTGAGAAGTTCATCACGCTGAATACCAGTTGTTAAGCTTGAGTTGTTTTCAAACTCGTTTTCAATCGTTTCTAACCAGGTGTGGAGCTCTCCAAACGACTGGTCAACTTCCTGACACAAAGCTAACGCTTGTTCTAAATCACCCAAACGCATCTCACCAAGTCGCGTTACATCTCTAGACAAGTCTCTTCCGGTCTGCAACAGTTTCCAAGTAATAATTAGAGGCAAAAAGGATTAAAAATTTGGTAATACTGCAAAAACAAGTCTTAGACGGGAAAGCGTTTGCTACGAAAAAACTTCAAAACTCAAGAGGAATAATAAATGTCTCAACTACCTCAATTTTGCTAGCTAGTAAGGCATTCTGACCATCAGCTTCGTCACCTAGAGCTCTAGCTACTTTTTGGGCATCTGCTGTTGCGTCTCGGAACCGCGCTCGCATTACTGCGATATCCTCGTTCATTAATTTTTGGTTCCTAAGCTGTTTCTTGACATAGTCCGGATCTACTGCGGGGGCTGACGCCTGATTTAGTAATTGACTATTAATCAAAAATTAATGGCCAAAGTAATTATTGAACTTCTTCAAATTCAATAAACCTGCTTCAGACGATCTACAGCATCTCCGAACCAACCATTGAGATAATCTAGCTCATCTAGAACTTGTCGACTTTGCTTTTCAGCCGAAGACAATTTTTCAGCTTTTCTAGTGACCTAAATTATGTAACTTTCAAGAAATTAATTCTGTTTCCTTTTGCATGTCCGAATGATAAGCACGCAACCTGATCTGCCAAAATGTTGAATCTGCGATTAAGGTCATCTGTTTGAGCGTCCAGCTCATCTGCTCGCGGTCCTCTACTTAACTGCATAAGCTGTTTAGATATGTTATTTATTTCTTCGACGTCGGTCCTCCATTTGTTCAAATCATCCTCCATTTGAGCAACAAGAGTAGATTGAGCTTCCAGAGGCACCTACAAAAAAAAGTAAGAAAAAAGTCTGCCAGTCGGAAATTTCCAAAAAATTTCCATCAGGTGAAAAATTGAAAAGTAAAGAAGTAACAGCCTAAAAACTGATTCACCTGGTCGATATCTTGAAGATCTTGTTCAACGGCATCCATCCACTGCTGGACGCTTTCACAACCATCCTGGAACTTTTCCGCAAGTGGTAAAGCTTCACTTAAAAGAGCAATTTTCGAGTCTGTAACGGCTGCAAGGTCTAAATATCGATTCCTTAAACCCTCTATTCTGCTTTGTAAAATGATAGCCTCGTCACCCGATGTATGCCTGCATAATTCTCTACCATTTTCTACCACACTTGCTACAAGCCGCTCTTGTTTCGTCACCTCCATTGCCAGCTAAAAGTAGCTATAAAAAACTGTAAAACTAAGAAAGCTCAAGGGTAATTGCTAAGGAAAAAAAATAGCTGAATAAATTTTCAAAAGTGCTGATCTCAACAAGGAAATGACTGTTGTTTCAAGAACTCTCCGCCTATTTTATTCCCTCTTTGCCGACTGTTCTGCCGAATTATTAAAGACTTTGAAAGTAAGATTAAGACGAAAAACTAAGGCAGAAAGTCGTGTTTCCTGTTAATATCTCTCAAAAATAGGCTCTTGGAACAGGCGAAGAGAGTTAAGAAGTGAGCTGTGCAGAAAGAAACTTTACACAAAGTTCTTTACAGTCGTTTACTAGTTGCAAATTTAATAAAAAACTAACTACTGTTCACTAGCTTGTTTATTAACTGACTAGTCACCGACTGAAAGTTTACTTCCAAATTAGTTTAACTGGCAGAAAACAGGAGAATAGACTTTGATTTGTGAAAGTAAAAAAAATTCAAAATTACCTTTCGCTTATATTAACCATCTCAATAAACTTTTTAAAAGATTTTTAATGCCTAATCTAGTCCAAAAAATTCTACAAAAGATTAATCGTAAACAGCCACTTGACTGTTATTTACTTCGTCAACTTTTTTCTTAGTTGAACCGTATTCTGAACGACTGAAAGAGGCGTTAGTAAAAGGTGAGCTGTCAAAAGTGTTCTTGTCAAAAACTTCCTATAAACGCTGTCCAGTAAAAAAAGTCAGCAAAACAAAATCATAGCTAGGTGCTATACACAGAGCTTTATCAGAGTTTCCTGAGAACTTTAAACACTAATTCTTTTGAGTGTACAAAAGAAAATTCGAGAGAACCCCAGTTTATAAAAAATGGGATTCAACCATCAAACAGTCGATTATAAAAGTAAGTCTATAGATTTTTACAAAGAATTGCTGCAGAAAAATGCTAAACAGTCAAAAGGATCTGTAGACGGAAGGTATTGCAAAAGATGCAAGAAATCTAAAAAAATTAAAAACTAGGGCCAAATTCAGAGGTGAATCCTTTGGAGACTTAGAAATAGTGAAGATATTTGTTGTTTCGTAGCGGGATCCAGTCTTTTAAACTCACATACTAAAACAAAGTTGAGTGCAAACTCTCTGTTTTGTACTGCAAAAGAAAGAAAAACATACTGACTTATCAGTGAAATAATGAAACTCAAAATGCATAAAAAAATTTTTTTATAACTTTCATCCGCACAAACCCCTTCTAACTCCAAGATCCCTGCAAGGCCTTAAAGGTAAATGGCTTTCCTATCAAATTGATTGGCTTAGTCATTTACAATGAACCTCAGCAACAGCCGAACTCTGATCGATCAATTCCTCTGGATAAATTGAAATATCTTTTATCTTGTCGACATCATCCTCAATCCTATCAAGCCACTCGCCTAGATCAGAAGTTTGTCCCAGGAAGTTCCCGATATCATCGGCTAACTAAAAGCGATATGTGTGGGACTGGGAGGATTACAAGATGCTAATTTAAAATTCAAATATTTTGGCCTTTAAGAAAACATTAATGGACACTTGCTTGTTTCAAAAGAACTCCACATTGGTTTGTCCGGGATTCTAAATCTTCGTATCTTGAAACAAGAGCGTGCATTGAATCCTCCAGTTCCTCTGCCTCTTTTTTGGAAGTCAACTCTGCGAGCATAGGACAAAGCGCAACAAGACGATCAAAATCTGGTCGGCGGCTAGCAATGTTTGCTTCCAAATCCTACAATTTAAAATTGAAAGCCAAACACGTGCTGTTCGCACAGTTACACAGTTGGAAAAAAATTGCTTCCTCTGCGATGGAATAACTTGTAGGCAAGGAAGTTAATAATCAAAACTGCACCTGATGAGCTTTAATTTGTTGCTGCATAATTTCTTCATTGACTGGTACTTTGCCAAGCTGATGAACAGCTTTTTCAGTAGCGTCAAGCCATATCGAAAGCGGAGTGGCTAAGTGAAACCATTCTTCAGCAAGTCCAAGAGCTGTATGAAGTCGAGATCTACGAGTCTGCGCACGTTCTAACAGAACTTCATATCTAAAATACAGACAAATAAGAAAATGAAATATAACCAAAACAATATTATATAGGTAGGAAATATAAAAGACACAGACGTACCTAGGAAAGAAATGGTTTATCAAATAATAATTCTCGCTGAAACAAAAAAACCAAATAAAGAAATAACCTCTTTGCAAAATTTTCTGGGCCATCCTTCAGTGAAAAGTTTTGAGTATCGCCACCAGCATTTGACTCAATTTTTCCTACCAAACCTTTGAACTTTTCGACACTAAAAAAAGAACCAAAATTTTATTGTTAAGATTTCGTTTCCAAATTCACAGTTAACAACTTATTTAAAACCGCAAATAACTAATTTAATTTTGTTGAAATTGATGCCAACAAAACAAGAGCAAAAGTCCCAGAAAAAAACAACCAGAAAAAAGATTCATAATAGAGAAGCAGTGTTACCGTTTCTTAACTCACCTAAAGATTCTTACAGACTTCCCTCCTTAAACTTTCCTGTTTTTTTTGTAAAGCAAATTTATCATCTAGCTTCTAAGCCTCGTAATCTTTGAAATTCATCATGAAATGAGACACATAAAACCCCTTGAATTTCACGCCCCCTGAATAGAACAAGAGACATTGTATTTCAATTAAAGAGGAGAGGCAGAGCGCAAACCACCAGAAAATGTCAAAGAAGCAAAGAAGCAATGCCTTACCCAATTTATGTTAACCGATTTTTCATGGATCCTATTTATGAAACTATTTAACATTGCACACAAGAAGTATTCTAAATAGAAATCGACCACTTTACCTCGCCTGTTTTTCTTCAATGTGTTTCAGCAGTATATCATTAGCTGAACTTTGCGCTTTTACAACTTTATATTCTGTTGAAGGAGGCTGCTGGTTGTCTAAGGATTCTTCGGTATCTTCAAGCCATATAAGTAAAGCATTATAAGCATCTGTGTAACTACCAAGTTCTTGTATGGCGCCACAGATTTGTTTTTCTCGTTCCGCCACACTAGTACACATTTCATTCCATGCAGTGAGAACATTTGTCTTCTCAGCTTCCTACAGAACAGGTATACTTCTCAAATTTGACTGTGAAAGAAATTCAATTATGTGAGAGTATTTAGAGTCAGCTTACAGAAAAAGGCTTACAATCTCAGATGTGTCTGCTTGCTTATCAGCACTTTTTATTAGCCGCTCACACTCGTTGATAATTTTTTCCACCCGATCTCCAATTTCTTTCCGCAACCTATCTTTGAGTAACCTTAACTCTTCTTGCTGGCTTTTCAGATCACTCAAATCTGATTTAACGGAAGCTTGAAGAACGCCTTCAGTTGCGAAATCCCTCAATTTTACACAAATGGCGTCTGCTTCCCTACAATTCTGCTGAGTTAGAAACACCCAAAACTCCTCTACAATGACATTTAAAATTTTTTGAAACATTCTTACTTCCCGATTTCAACAAGTGATTGTTGAAGATCTATGATTTTCTGCTTTCGTTGTAAAAGTAGCCTGCGCTGGCTGTCTATTTCTCCCCTGTTACGAGCAAGTTGATTAAGACCAACTGTCAACTGTGCAGTGGTAATCACACCAGCATCGCACTGCCCCTTCAATTCATTCGCTAAACGATCCAATTCCTAAAATGACAAGTCAGATAGCGAAACTGTTCGCCCATGTTGAAGCAGTCGTCATTTTATATACGTTGATTTTCTAACTACCTTTTCTTTCTCGTCCAGTGACTGCATCATTGTATCACATTCAACTAGCTGCCGTTCTAACTGATTTGGTGCCAGACCAATTGGAGTCAACGATGCCTTGAAAGTAAAAGCAAATTACGCATGAGAAAATTTAAAGAAAAGTTTGGAAACCTAAAAAACAGTAGCAACTTCTTGCAAGTTTAATACAACAAAGCTTTCTAAACAAGAGACTTTTTCCAATAAAAGTAGGTTAAGGCGCGAGAATAAATAATATAAGGTTGAAGTACTCAACTTACCGTAATGATAGCTTGAACACTACATCCTATTTCTGTAACTTCACGCTTAAGACGGTCTGCCTCTTCCTCTCTTTCAGTAGATTTCTTTAGGTCACCTTCCATTTCGTTCAATAAATTGGTGTAATCGGTTTCCAAGCCCAAAATAACATTTTTCAATTCTGTTTCTTCATCTGGCTCAACCACAGTTTGAAGCTCTTTTACGATTTTATTCATTTCACTGTTCTGCCTTCTCCAGCCATCTTTCAATTCCGAGATAGCTAAAACTTAACGATTTCACAACAAAAAATTATACCAAATGTACGGAGAGATACCAAAAATTAAACAATTAATCAGAAACGACGATGACGATGATAATAATGATAGTAATATTATAACAGTAATAATAATAATAATGATAATAATAATAATGACAATAATAATAATAACAATAATATTTCCAAAAATACTTCGCGCTCACCGTTACCAATAGCAGTAGTTGAAAGCGCACGATCTCCGTCATTTTTAGAAAGGCTTGCCAAGTCCTTTGCCGAATTTAGCAGAGCTGTAGCTTCTGACTTACACTTGTCAAAACGACTCTTTAATTCTTTCTAAAAAAACTTGTTTCAAAAAACATAAAGCAACTCGCTCCATATTACCTTACTCTGCAATTTCGACGATGCACTTTGAGCATCTTTCACAACTGTTTTCCAGTCATTCTGCGCATTCTCTAACCGACGTCTCAAAGTTGTCGCCGATTTCCCGCCTACTGCTTCCTCCAGTTTCGACATTATTGGTTCCAGAGACTGCAGCTCCACAAAAGATCTTTCAGCCTGTTGTTCCAATGCTTTTGCTGCACCAATTTCATTCTGTTAAAAGCAAACAAAGTTTGACCTCA